CTCATAGTAGAACATTTCATAAGTGTGTGCTTTCAGTAAGTATATCATCGTATTTTAAGGTACAGCATCCATTACTCCTAAGAATTACTTTATAGATCCACCTTATCAATATGAGCTACTATTAGTAAGCTGCTCAAGTAAAGAAACTGAGTTTTCCTTTTGTTTTTTCTCAGCTCGAAGGAGAAATCTCAATTACCAAATATTTTACTGAATGAGTTTGTACCCTGATAGGACTCTACTATGGTTGGAAGAGGAAAGAGATGGGAAGGTCATCATTCTTCTTGACCTCCCTGCAGACTTTGACACTGTTGATCCCACCTTTTTCCTTAATACCCTCTTTTCTCTAGGTTTTTGGGACGCTACTCTCTCCTGGTGACTAACTGGGTTCACCACAAATTTATGTTGCATAACCTTGCCTGGACCCTCCCTGTCATGAGGCAATCTTTTTATACCTCCCTAATTAACTTTCTGTCCTACTAACCACAGCAGCTCTTCCAAACCATTTTGTCCCTCCTCAAACCCCCCATGGTTTCCCTCCCCCAACCCCAGTAGAGAAACTTGCCTTATATTTTACTGAAAAAATTGAAGCCATTCCCTGAGAACTCCCTTTTCTCCCTTCCTCCTAATCTCTCATAACCCAGATGCCTTCTGCGGCCACTCTCTTTTTTACCTCTGTCTCACATGAAGTGGCCCCTCTCCCTGCCAAGGCTAACTTCTCCCACACATTGCCTCTCCTGTCATCCTCACTTTCACTTATCTTCAATCTCTTTCTATCTTCCCTACTGCCTTCCAACATGCCCATATCTCCTTCATCCTCAAAAGATGCTTACTTGATCCATCCATCCCTGCTAGGTGCTTCCACTTCATTCCCCCTCACTCCTAATTCTGTTATTCAAGTGAAAGTGCTCTCTCCAAAGTTACCAATGATCTCTTAATTGCCAAATCTAACGACTTTTTCTCAATCCCTTCCTTGATTTCTCTACAGTCTTGGACACTACTAATCTCCTCTCCATACAACTCTTTTCTAAGTTTTCAGGACATTGTTCTCTTCAGTCCTCCTCTCTTACCATTCCTCAGTCTCCTTTGCTGGATCTGCTTGTGGGTGTCCTGAAGGGCTCTGTCCTGAGCTCTCTTCCCTTCTCCCTCTATACTATTTCACTTCTTGATCTCATAGCTCTTTTTGTTGTTGTTCAGTTGTTTTCAGTTCTATCCAACTTGGTGCCTGGTACATAGTAGGAGTTTAATGTCTATTGACAGACTGAACTTAGTGGCAGTCAGAACTCAAACCCAGCTCTTCTGGTTCCAAGAGTGGGTCACCAACTGCACTGTAACGCACTACTCCAGGTTCATCTACACATTTCTGGAGAGATTCTGGACATCTGAGTCTTCCTACCACATCTTATTTATAGTTGACCTGGAGCACTAGCTTCTAATAGTTTGTAAATATCCTGCAGGAGCACATCCAAGGACTGGGCAATGACTTCACTAGACTGATAGCCAGAGGGGTAAAAATACTCACTTTAAGTTTAGAAAAGCCCTGCTTTGGCCATCATGTTACAGGAAACATAGAAAAAGATCTCATTAGCCACTGCAAGACTTGAAAAGATTCAGTGCTATCTTTATTAGTTTCTTAAAAACATTTCCATTTAATTTCAAAGTACTTTCAAGGCAATTGTAAGAATAAATTATAAACAGGCTCAATTTGTGCTTCCGGCACCCAACAAAAGGCATTTATGACCCAAATCTAAGCTAGATCTTAAGCTTGGTCAGGTTCTATCAAATTAGAAAGGTGCAGCAGCCAGCTGGTAGAGGATAAATTATCTGAGGACTAGGCTAGCTCAGTTCCCAGGGGCTCGCTGCCAGAAGATTGATAACCAGATGAAATTGTTTGGCCACAGAAATTCAAAAACTAATATCTGCTGAGGGACTAGTATCAGTGAAAACCCAAAAGCCTTGCAGTAAATGAAGGGCCAAAGGAGGGGGCAGTTTGGGAGGCACGGAAGTTCTTCAGATCTTCACAACTTTACCTTGCTTTAATTACAGAAAGTAGGGCACAACATTTGACATCTAGTCATAAGGTAGGTTTGCCACAGCTTTAAAAAAAAAACAACCACCTATAAATGCCATAAGATCGTTTATTGGCATTATTCCACATTATTTTAGCAAATGAGATGAAGTCCTAACTTGTAAGTGGTGGCATGCATCATATTCTTATCAATCTTGACAGAAGCAACAAAAATGAAGGCTTACCAGCATCTACCACGTTATCCAAGACAGGACATTTACTTTCATATTAGCAAAGAAACGAAGTAACACTTGGAAAACATAGTCATCGCATTCCAAAACATGGTTATGAATAGACGCTTAACAGTCTTTCACATTTATATAGGGTCTTAAGAGTTTACAGCTTTTCTTCACAACAACCCTGTGGGGTGGATGACACAAGTATCATTTCTCATTTTATAGGTGAGGTAATTGAAGCTTGGAGATAATAACTAACTTCTCTAGGGCCATACAGCTAAATAATGTGTCAGAATAGGTCTAATAACTCCATTTATGTCACACTGGCAGATGTCAGAAAACCTTTAAATGTGATAGTATCATAAACAGAACAGATTGTCTACTAGCACTCAGATACCAAAAAGACTTTTAAGTAATCTAGAAGAGGACTTTCTAATTATGAAAAAATGCAAATCAAGGAAAATGTCCCAGAGGTAAATAATGATTTTTATAAGGAACCTAAGAAACACATAAATGTTAAATTTATAAGGCCCAGATAATTTGAATTAATGCAAATGTATATATGAAAGAATTGCTAGAAAAATAGGGAATATTCAACTTCATGCTGTGGGTGACATTTCCACATTTGCTACTGTGGTGTGAATATTTTTCTCATTTTGTCATTTTAACATCAGAATTTGGCAATAAATGAATTTGAAGAAAAAAAAATTTTGAGTTAAGTCTGCAGGCAAGGACAGAAAATGAGCCACATAAATACATTATGAAGTGAGGGCAGAGCACTCAGACTTGAAATCGTGTCCCAAGCAGCCACTAGTCCATCTTGGAGCATCAAAGAACTAGTCTTTAAATTGATGGCCTTGTGGTCAAATATAGTGGAGCTACCATTTTGGCAGACTGATGGGAGAAACTATAGATTTTTAAAAAGGCTCGTTTTATCACATGGTCCAGCTCTAAGATAATTGTTTTTGGATCTGAGTGCTTCAGGATGTTAAATCTGTCATTGGAATTAGAGGATCTTATGGACCAATTTAAGTATTACTAAATTCATTAGAAAAAGTACCTGAAGTCTGAATTCCTTGAGATGTCACCCAGGCCTCGTTTCCTCTCTTACTATTCCTCTAAAAAACACAGGGCAGCACAGGAGTGAATTCTGCACATTTCTCACCCAGCTCACTTTGAATGTAATGCACCTTAGATCAAGGAGAATAGACCTTTATCTTGTTTTCCTTCCAAGTATTAATCCATTCATTGAAAATTAATTTTTGAAAATATTTTTAATTAAGAAAATATAATGATCTGGTTAGACCTGCTTCTCTGACCACATGAGATAAACATCCTATGCACAGAATCTGCCCCAGTGCTTCAAAACTTTTAAATTGACACCTTTTCTTACAAACATTACAGTTCAGTTAACAATGGTCTTCACTTCCTCAGAGGAAATCTCTTTTCTTCTGTTCTATGTATTCCTGCGTTGATGAAGAAGATGTACTCATTTTATTAAAGGCACCTTCACCAACCAAAGAAAGACACATACCAGGGTTAGGCAAGCAATCACTTTTATTCAGAGACCTGTGCAGGGTACCATCGCTTTCACCAAAGGGCTGTATTAGCAAATTTGGCCTAAAGGCAAATTTACCCAAACTCACAGTAGTACAAGGGCACAATTATTGGGACTCTTTTAGGCAGCAATGTCAACTGCCTGAGGACATAGGAGTCCAGGAAATTGGTCTGTTTCCCTAATGTGATAGTGCTTCCTTTCTTCAGAAGCCAGACAGATGGGAACAGTAAACAATGTTAAAATCTCTGGAAAAGGGGAATGACAAACTCAATCAATTATCTATTATCCCAAGTGCTAATTAAACTTATATCCAGCACTGAAAATAAATAATGGAATCTCTCCACATGCGCACATGCATCATTCTTCACCTAGGATAACAGGATTTAGGGTTGGAAGGGCCTTTAGAGATAATCTATGGCCACCCTCCCCCACTACCCCAATTTGGTAGCTAAGGATACTGAGGCTCAGAAAGGGGAAAATAACTTGCCAAAGATTAGAGGGCTAATAAGCAGTAGAGCCAAAATTCAAACCCAAGTCCTGAAATGTCAAATCCAAGTCGTTGTAATCCAGCTGACTAAAGCATCCTCTGGGTGAGATGAAGAAATGTGAGATAGCTTTAAAGGGGCAAGAATCATTTCTTCTCTGAAATCACAAGTACCAGACAATTCAGGGGGCTTCCAGAAGTGTCCCTTAGGATACAGTTCCAAAGAGCTGCTACATGCCTGGTATCTACTTGTGTCTGATATTTCAAAAGAAAGACTGTATGGTTAAACCACAATAAATAAATTGGAACATTGGCTAAGTAATAATTCGTACTATGGATGTTTCCCCAATTTGGACTGCTAGGAGGGAAGAAAGAGACTAGGATAGTCCCATAAAGGCAACATCTATAAGCTACCTCCCCTATGCACTTACAGTGCTAATGTTTTGTATTACAATTGAAGTTAAAATAGGTGAGTTCAACTTTTAAGGTGGGAAAAGTCAGGAGAGCCAGGGGTGGAGGGGAGGTGGAGGGGGAGAGGGGCAGGGGGAGTGTCAAGCTGGTAATAATTTAAAAATGAATTTTATATAGTACTCTAAAGTTTACAAAGCACTTTCCATATATTATCTCATTTGAGCCTCACAACAACCCTGTGAGGTAGGTACTAGAGGTATTATTAGCATCCCCATTTTACAGATAGGAAATTGAGAAAATGTTAAGTGACTTCCCCACGGTCACAAAGCTAGTAGAAGGTGGGTGTGAAATGACAAGTCCAGTATTCTATCCATTATGCTGGCCAGGCTGACTCTCAGAAACTAGAAATTAATCCTCAGAGCATTACTCTCCCAACCCCACTCACCACCCACCCACCCTAATCCCATGAGTAAAATCTGGAAGAAGGAAAAAAAAGCCCAAAGGGTTTTAAAGAGTTTGGAAACAATGGGGGTGAGGGAAATCCACAAAAGTTTTTCCAGACTTTCAGTACAGGTAGTAAGTCTTAAGTCCACTGTGAGATGCCAAGTCATGTCTCCTGGAGTTCATCACAGAAATCCACCTCCTCCTTGGATAGAACCCTGGCTGAGCTGAGCTTTCTAGGCATTTCCCAATACACTTCCTTGCCAGTCTGTCAAATCACATTGGTGGATTCTGGCCTTCATGACACCCCTCCTCAATGTTCTTTCTGAGGACATGACGTGTCTTTCTTTACCGCCAAGCACGATTCAGAAGCTTCACTTGGGCCAGTCTCTTTGTGATCATGGTGGCAAAGACCAAGCCAAAGAGGACACTGCTGATCAATACATAGTCATAGTCGTCTTTCAAGACATCAAACTGTTTGGATGGGTAGACTCGGGTCTGGTAAATGTCTAGCCCATATGCCACAACCTGGAGAACCAAAGAGAACCCAAACCAATTAAGAACAAAAAAATCATTCCATGTTTACAGTCTTAGCAGGGCCAGGGACCATGGGTCAGAATCATAACAATGAACAAACTGCCCCCAAAGCAGTCCTAAAAAAGAGGCTGTACTCACCAGACAGGTAGACTCCAGGCCAGAAGGAGCAGTATAGATGCCTCTCATTCTGGAGATGGTCTGATTGTAATTGATGAACCTCTCTGCATGGATCTGTACATCTGGAGAATATGGGATCAAGTTCTCCTCTCTGCAAAGCATCAAAGTAAAGTCAGGATAACACCGAAAACCTCCACCCAATCCAAATAACTCTCCCAAGGCCATGGAACAGCCAAATCCTCCAGTCTTGGTCTAGCTTGCATTAAGCATTCAAGGGTAACCTCCAGCCTTGATTTCTCCCCTAAAGTGCTAGTTCCACAAGTCTGAATTCCTTCCAGATAGTTTTCCCTGGCTGTCCCACCTACTCTCCAAGCTCACTCATTTTCCATTTTAAAATCTACACCACCACCCCCACTTATGTCAACGGCACCAAGATTCTACCAGTGAGTGTGTCAGCCAGGTTCAGAACTTCAGGCTCTTGTTTTTTATTATTAACCCTGAGCTCCAAATTCCTGTCAATACCACCCCCTTTTCTTTTCTTTTTTTTCTTTTTCTTTTTGGTGAGGGCAATTGGGGTTAAGTGACTTGCCCGGAGTCACACAGCTAGTGCGTGTTACGGGTCTCAGGTCGGATTTGAACTCAGGTCCTCCTGACTCCAGTGCTGGTGCTCTATCCACTCCACCCCCTTTTCAAAAAGCTCTTCCAACCCCTTCCCCTTCTCTTCTACAGCTACTACCTAGTGGGCACACTCATTTCCACTCTTCTGAAGTACCAGAATAGCTTTCTCACTGGTCTCCCTACTCCAGATCTCTTCCCTGTCCGGTCTTACCTCACAGCCACCAAAATAATCTCATTTATGTACAAGTCTGACCAAGTTCCATCCTTTAATCAGAAACCTTCTTTGGCTGCCCTGTTGCCTACAGGATAAAATTCCACCTCCTTACCTGTTCTGGCACTTATGGCCTTCAACAATTTGTTTGAAACATACCTGTTCAGACTTATTTCACACTTCTCACTCAAAGTTCCCCCACTCCTTTTTTAAAGCCCAGCCAGCCAACCCTTTTGTCCCTCCTTCTTCCACCTGTTTGTTTGGTTTTTTTTTGCATAGACCATCCCCAAAACATGGAGCATGCTCCCTCTTCCTGTCTGCATATTGAAAGCTTTCTCTTCCTTCAGGAGCAGCTCAGGGACCACCTCTTCCATGAAGCCTTATGCTCACTCCAACTATACAGAGTCATGGATTCAGAGCTGGAAGGGACCTCCAAGGCTCGTTGGCTAATCCCTAATTCTGTAGATGGGAAAAGAACCAGGGAAGTTAAGGGAGTTGCCCAAGGTCACACAAACAGTAGTGGCAGAGGTAAGGTCCAAAACCAGAACTCTGCCTCCAAATCCAGCAGTCTTTCCATGGTACTATGCCGACTCTCACTCCTCAGAATTTTCCCAGAGAACTTTATCAGAATCTCTCTTCTGCTATCATCACATTCTGCTTCCCCTATTAGGCCTGGTCCTCATCCTCAAGGTTACATTATCATGTCCCATCATTGCATCCACAGGACCTAGCACATACAGTTCACATTTCTATGGCACATATCTAAGATTTATTCCAAACTTTCCTCAAATAACCCTTTGAACTAGGTGGTATGTTTTTATTCCCACTTTACAGATGAAGAAACTGAGACTCTGAGAGTGTTAGTGTGCCCAAGATCAAGAGCTAAACAGGTAAGCCAGAATTTGAAGCCATGTCTCCCGGTGCTAAATCTAGCATTCTTTCTATTGCACTGAGATGCCTCAGATAATAAGCAAGATTTTAAAAAATGTTTAGTGATTGAGATGCATTAATTTCAAGTGACAGGGACCTGAGGGAAACGAGCAGCCTGGGAAATAATATTCAGTTCTGCATGGGCAGAAAAATAAATAAAAATCAACAGCAGTTGGTTGGAGGAATAATGTTTATATCATCTGAAGTGAAGAAAATATTACACAAGTCACCGTGGGGCAGCTAGCATGATGAAACAGAAAGAACACTAGATTTACAGAAGGAAAAACCCATGTTTAAATCATGACTCTGATGCTTATTAGCTGTGTGTGAGATCCAGGACAAGTTAATTCACGTCTCTGGGTCATGGTTTGCTCATCTGTAACAGAGGAATAATAATACTTTCATTCCCTACCTCATAGGGCTTTTATTGAAAAAATCACTTTGTAAACCTATGGAAATGGGAGTTATAGAAACTACTACACCCATAGGCCAACACCTTCCTCCTTCCCTTTTTTCCCTCTGAAATACTCCCCAGCCCAATCTTTTCCCCTGAAAATCACATCATACCATTTTTTCTCTATTTTGAATCCATTCTCCCTCCTCTTTTTTTTAATCCTATAAACACCCTAGTTTTAGAATTTGCTGCTTCCCTTCAACCTGGACAAGCAGAATTTGGGGTGAATGTGAAAAGATACCCCAGAAATGGCATGTAAGTGCAATTTTATAGCTGACCAATTCCAGACCATAGGTGACCTACCTATGTGTAAGGGACTTCTACTAAAGTCAGTGTTTGCAAGTCAGGGCTCACTAAGGGTCCCATGGGTTTCCAGGTCTCACCTGCTTTGCTCTGTTGGGATCTCAGGACGTCGAGGATCTAGCAGGGCCTTCGGCAGAGAGAGAATTGCTCCTGAGGGTAGCCCAACTGCAGAGAAAACATACAAATGAAATGAGTGACTATTTTGATCGTTCTAGCATGGGTCTAGTTACAGAGTCTCCTAATGGAAATCTCTCATGGTTTGATGAAAATAGTTCAAAGAAGAAGAAATCCTAATGAACAGGGAGTAATATTAACTGCAGAAAAAAAGTCCTGCTGAACAGAAAAGTCCAGAAAACATTTGGATCCCTTGTCACCTTCTGCCCTTCCCCTCCCTGATCCCTGACCAGTCAGGAAAGGCTTTTGTCCATTAACCACTAAGAAATAGAGACCCACCCCCACCAGCCAGATGACTCCACATGTCCCTGCCTGGGCATAAGTGAGTATAAGTACCGATGGCCATGCACGACCCAAAACCTTTCATCTGCATCCATCTCATCAACAAGCCTCAGAAAGGGTGAGGATTTCAGCTGACGAATTGTGATTAACATCACTCTCTTCTCATACATCCAGAATAAAACAACATGCAATTCCTCTCCCTAAACCCAAGGTCCCAAATTTAGCAAGCCAACTCAACTTAAACTATTTGAGCCCTAACCCTAGAATTACATAATTAGGGCTGGAAAGAACCTCAGAAGGCATTGGGTGCAAATTAAACTGGGAAACAATAGGTCATTCCACTTCCACTTGAAGGTTAAGTGACAGGAAACTCACAACCTCCAAAGTGAACCCATCATACTTTCTGACAGCTCTGATTGTTAAAAAATTGTTTCTGTGATAAAGTAAAAATCTACCTTTCTGCAGCTTCTCCCCCTTGATGCTAGTTCTGCCCCTGGAGCTAGGCAATACAAGTCGAATCCTTTGTCCCCGGAACAGCCCTTCAAAAACTTGAAGAAGTTACATCAAGTCTCTGGACTTTGGTTTGTGATCACCCTATTTGCTGAGGTCAAAGGCCCTACTCATTTCTGTAGCCCACAAGGATGGGCTGAGCCAAGGTTGATTTCACAGTCAATTCTGTGAACTGAGTGAAAACTTAGATTCGAGAGGCAAACTACCTCATTTTAAAGGAAAAAGAAAAGAGCTGACCAGTTTCTGTAGGTTACAAAGCTAGCCTAAGGTTCTTTCTCTGATGCAAGAAAGCCTTTCCTAATAATTGCAATTAACACATATATGATGCTTTATAATTTACAAAGTGGTCCATCAGTTATGAACTGCTCTATTTGGAGAATAATTTGGAACTATGCCCACAGGGCTATAAAATTGTGTATGTCCTTTGACCTGGCAATACCACTACCAGGTGTGTAGCCCAAAGAGATAAAAGAAAAAGGGAAGGGACATGTGTACAAAAATATTGATAGCAGCTCTTTTTGTGGTGGCAGAGAGTTAGAAATTGAAGACATGCTCATCAATTGGGGAATGGCTGAGCAAGTTATGGTACATGATTTTGATAGAATGCTATTGTGCTATAAGAAATGATAAAAGGGATGGTCTCAGAAAAACCTGGCAAGACTTATATGAGCTGATGCAAAATGAAGTGAGCAGAACTAGGAAAACACTGGACACAGGAACAGTAATACTGTATGATGATCAACTGTGAATGACTTAGCTAATCTGATCAAGACAATGATCAAGACAGTGATCCAAGACAATTCCAAAGGACTCATGATGAAAGATGTTCTCTGCCTTCAGAGAGAAAACCGATGGAGTTTGAGTGCAGGTTGAAGCATACTTTTTTCACGTACTTATTTTTCTTGGGTTGTTTTGTTTTTGGCCACATAGCTAATATGGAAATATGTTTTACATGACTTCACATGTATAACTGATACATTGCTTCCCTTTTCAATGGGTGGGGGAGGGACTAGAGGGAAAGAGAGAATTTGAAATTCAGAATTTTTAAAAATGAATGTCAAAAGTAAAATTTTTTAAATAGTTAAAACAAACAAACAAACAAATTCTACCTTCTCACTTGAGCCCAACCTATAAGGAAAGTATGCAGGTAGTATTATCTCTTCTTTACAGATGTGAAAACTGAGAAAATAATAAAACTGAAATTCTAATCCAGGTCCCCTGACTCCCAAACTAGGAATCTATCCTTCATACTACAGATGCCTTTCACTGCCTCACTGTGTGGCCTGTACTGAACTCTGCAGGCAATGGATATTCTGTTCTGACCTTCTGTTTATTCCCTTAAAAGGGAATCAAGTTCCACCGGGGGCCTCTCCTAAGATACTCACTGAGTAAATGGCGACTGGTGATACCACGTTCTGTGATGGTGGCCTCCATGGCACTGATGGATGAGGGGAAGATATACGATTGCTGGAGAACCTGGGGGAGCTGAGGGCGATCCAGGGAGCTGAAGGCCGTGGCATTGTACTGCTCTGTCCCTTCATACAGCTCCAGCACAGTGAACTCATTACGGCGTGCCTTGGTGTTCCAATACTGGTACTACAAGAGAAGGAAAAAATGGTTTGTGATCTGAGGGGATGCCAGCCTGTTCCAAGGCTGCTGATTAACCCAACTGGTCAAGGAAAGTTGAAAAATATGGTACCCTGCTAAAAACAGAGATCAAGGAAGATAGGAAAAAAGTATAGCGCCCCCACTGCCCTGCCCTTTATACTATCTTTCTAAGTTTAAAGATGTAGAATGCTAGAAATCTAAGGGCTCCCAGTTAACCTAAGCCCCCTACAACTGTTAGGAAAAGGCTCTTCCCCAGGTCTCTGGGGCACGTGTTAAGAAGGAGTATGATTTATAGGTAACCAGAGAACAATTAGATAAGTGAATCACTGGGCTTTCAGAGGGAAAGAGAGACAGTGACCCATCCCTGAAGCCAGGGAGGCCTGCCTCCCATTTCTACAGTGAGAAATGCTCAGTGTGCCAGTCATTCCTTACCACCACCCAGTTTTCTGAATGTACAAGATGGACAGGTCCTTTGGCTTTCTTCTGTACCGAGGAATAGATGATGCGTCCTGTGACACCATCAATGAGGTAGATGCCAATAAAAGTGCGTTCATGGTGCAAATCTGTGCTCTCTGTCACCACAGCCAGAAGATTGGGGTTCAAACTCTAGAGGAGAGAGTAGAACAGAAGAGGCTCATGTCAAATCATTATGGGAACAACAGTCTTCATGATGAGGTAAGCTGAAGATGCTTCCCATTCCTCTGCTATAAAAAGCAGATGGGGACGAGATGTCCTGGTTCAGAAACAGGTGCCATATCAATACCACACTAAAATAACGCTAACACTAAAACAAGATATTCATCACTTTTCATGATCAAAGATGGTACTTGAGTAGGACTTTGCAGTGCCCTTGGGTCACTATAAACATCAATGATCATGGACAGCAGACGAAAGCAAGATGACCACAGAAAATGGCTTTTGCTACAGTTCCTTGGTCTTTTTTTTTTTTTCTGAGAGGCAACTGGGGTTAAGTGACTTGCTCAGGGTCACACAGCTAGTGTAAAGTGTCTTGTCTGAGACTGGATTTGAACTCAGGTCCTCCTGACTTCAGGGCAAGTGCTCTATCCACTGTGCCACCTGGCTGCCCCAGTCCCTTGGTCTTAATCCTAGCACCTGGTGCTGGGAATCCTTGCTCCTCTCCACTCCTCTCCAGTCTCAGATCGTCCAGAAGCTGCCATCCAATTCAACACTATCTTCAGTGCTCTCATGGGTACTCCCTCCCCTCCACTGAGGCAAATCACAATCCCTCTGTACTTAATAGAGAGTTGTGTAGACAAAAACATTAAGTCCCTTGGTGGCCCACTCTCTGATTCTAAGTGTCTCTGAACTTAGCTAGCAGCACAGGACCTTACACAGAGAGTAGTTACTTGTCATGGCTTATGTCCTACCAGCACAGCCTTTGAGGGCTGACAGCCATCCCCCTATCCCCTAAGGAGGAATCAGAAGAGGACTGAAATGTAGAGGACACAGCATGAGGGCCTTTGTCCTCCTCTCCTCACCACTGGTCAAAGCACTGGAGCACAAGTGTGGAGATGAGCACAGGTCAAAGAGGAGTACCTTATAGAGCACGCTGCGGTCGCCCATCACTCGGCCTTGCGAGTGCACATGCTCGCTGGTCCGCTTGCCCTTCACCATCACTATTCTCTGTACCTCGGGTGGGATGGTCAGCTCCCAGCTCAGCTCTGTTGTCAAATCCTGAGGCAGGGAAAAGGGAAAGTTAGTTTTTCACTCCTAGAAGGTCCACAAGTAGAAATGGTGCCTGTCAGGGGCAGAGTGCTGGAAGTCACCATGGCTTATGATGGTGGATCTCTGTGCTAGAAAAAGCAGGAATCAATTCAAAGAATTCCCCAAATGAGAGAAAATCCTCACTGAATCATCATTATTAGTAATAATAGCAAATAACAATAATAGCATATTTATATAATGCTTTACAGTTCCCTTCTGACATAAGTCTTATCACCGCCATCCTACAGATGGGGCAACTGAGGCTCTGAGAGACTGGCTGCCTTATTAAAGATGCCCCAGCTTGTAAGAATTTGATACAAGATTCAAACTCAGGTGTCTGACTTGAAGTCTAGCACTCTGTCTGCTACCCCACACAAATGAAGACCGTCATTTACTAACAGAACCTAAGTTCTTTTAGACCAGGTGTTTTTAGCCTGAGGTCTGTGCACTTGAATGGGAAAAAAAAATTACACATGTATTTCAATATAATCAGTTTCCTATCTAATCCTATCTATTTTATTTTATGTATTCAAAATTATTCTTATGGGAAGGGATCTGTAGGCTTTGCCCAACTGCCAAAGGGAGCCAGGACACAAAAACAGTTTGGAACTCTTGCTTTAACCAGAGGCCATGTCTTAGAATCAGAGCTAGAAGTCTTCAAGGCGGGCGAGTCCAGGCTCCATGAACTCTATAAGCTCTATGTCACAGAGTCTAAGTATATAATGATGACAACTGAGACTGAATAGCCCTGCCAAAAAGAGGGAAGAGACAGTGACAGACAGCAAGAACGGAAGGGAACAAGCATTTACAGAGCACCTACAATGTGCTGGGCTCTGTTCTAAGTGCTTCATGAACACCAGATCATTTGGGCCTTACTATAACCCTCAGGGTAGGTGTTATTATTATCCCCATTTTACAGTTGAGGAAACTAAGGCAAACAAAGGTTAAGTGACTTGCCCAGGGTTACACAGCTAGTGAGTGTACAAGGCAGAATTTGAACTCAGGTTTTCCTGACTCCAGGGCCAGCGCTCTGTCCATCAGCAGCTACCTCTTTGTGGGATATGATATACCACTGAGAAGGAATGAGAGACAGATAACTGACTTGTTCTCTATGTTCTGTCTCAATCCAATATTTGCATAGCTTGGGTCACTGAGCCTGACACGCTGCTACTGCTGCTGCTGAGGAGAATGTGAACTCCTGGGACTAGGCCAGGAACTGGCCATGTTGGTTTGGCCTCGTGTCCCCAGGAAATGGTGCAGCCCAGCCTGAAGCCTAGTGAGTGTTTGTGGAACCGGATCAGAGGACTGAAAGTTGGCATTCCACCAGTCCAACCTCTCTACAGATGAAGAGAGTAAGGCCCAGAGAAGATCAGTAACTTGCCCAAAGTCACAAAGGTCAAAAGGAACAGAGCTGGGATTTGAATCCAGGTCTTCTGACGTTTACTCGAGCGCTCATTCTCCTAGATCATGCCAGTCTCGTAGAATAATAGCTCAAAATTCCATACTATTAGTGTTAGTAACAATTACATAATTATATCACACTCTAAACTTGATAAAGCATCTCATACACATTTTTAGCTCATCTAATCCACACAGTGACCCTGAGTGACAGAGAGGGGCAACTGCGACCCCCTTTTATGGTTAAGGGATCTGATGTTCAAAGATGTTCACCTGCCCAGCGTCACACAGCATCTGAGGAAGGTGTCCACCCCAGGTCTCCCCACCGGCTCCGTCTGTTTTACTATGCCACATCTGAGCTCAACCATGGTCAATATGCCAGCCCTCTGTTACATTTCACTAACACTTAAGTGTCCTACCCACTGCCAACATTTTAACAGGTAAGACCTTAGGCTTACTTTGAAGGAAGAATACTCTGCTTTTCACATTACGATTCGCAGTGGGCCTTAAAGACAATGATCATAGACACCTTTGGTGTATACAGTTCTACTCCAGCAATCACTCCTCTGCAGTAGCTGGTTACTGGCACTGGGGCCTCCATTCATTCCAGCCCTGTGCTAATGAGGCCAAGACCTTGGGTTTGCTTCCCACGTACATCTAGAAGCTTTACTGTATCACAGACAAACCACACCCCTCACCTGGCCCTACAGTCTCACAAATCTTTGCTATAGCTATTCACAAAGGGGCCTAGGAAGGACAAGACAGTTGGTAGTGACTGATTAAAACACAGTAAAGGAAAAATTTGAAGAATACAAATAAACATGCAAAAACTTGTTATGAAATGATAAAGAGTTCAGCAAAATAAGGAAAAGACACTGAATACAATTGTACAGGGAGCTTTCAGTAATGTAATTATTTTGTGAGAATTAGTATCATACTAGTTTTCCAATCAAATCTGTTTGGACGTTAGAGTTTTGAGATTTACTCCCTATTTCATTTGTATTTGTGGAGAATGTTGATAAATTTATAAAAATTTTAAAAAGAAAGAGAACAGGATAAAGAATACAGCTGGACCATGCTAAGTCTAAGCCAACTCCTAAAAGTTAACTTGCCCCCCAGCCTCTCTCCAGCATGACAAAAGTTCTCATAGCTACTTTACTGGGAAGAGTAACACACTATAACAAGTTATTCAACAAGGACAGGGAAATAGTAGAATACATTGTGGGAAAAAATAATGTAGGAGACAATGTTTAAAAAGACAAACACTATAAAGAAACATGGAAAAACATATTAAGTAACGCAGAGAGAAGGCAACATTAAAAAAACAGCATAACAATACTATGTCTACACTTTAAAAAAAAAATCCTTTCTAAGCACAGACAAGAAAACAGGGAGGAACACAAAGAACGATAAAAATCACAATCATGTCACGCCTTCAGGTTTTCGGAGCACTTTCCAAAAATGACCACTGAGGGAGGTATTCCAAGTATTAGCTGTTTTATAAAAAAGGAAACTGAGGCCTGGAAGTCAAAAGACTTATCTACAGTCCCGCACAGTATCAGGGCAAGTATTAGAAATCAGGTCTCTTAATTTTAAGTTCAACCAAAAAAAAATTATTATTGTCATTAATTTTTTAAAGTTCATATTTTTATAAAAATAAATCACAATTATATAATTTGTTGGAGTTATGATCTTTATTTTGATTATTTGTTAGTTAGGTTTATGATCATTTTTTAAAATGGTTAAGTAGGTTAAAACTACACCTCAAAGCCTACACCCTCCTCATGTAGTGGAAAGTGTTATCTTTCTAGTGAAAGGTGACTCATTATTCCACCTCTAAACAGAATGCAACAGACCATTACTTCCCTGGACAGCAGGGAAGGAGTTCTCGAGACTCTAAATTCTGGCCCAGGCTGATGTCACTTTGAGTTTAAAAACCGCTGGTTAATTTGGCTCCCATCTCAGCCCATCAACACTGCAGACAAACAGACAAACACACACACACACACACACACACACACACACACACACACACACACACACACACACACACACACACACTCTCCCATCTCAGCCCATCAACGCTGCAGACAAACCCACCCACCCACCCACCACTGGGCTCTCCTCAACGGAGAGGGCTCCTTTCTACCTTGCGCAGCCTGAATCCAGACAGTCGGCCCCGTTCCGAATCTACAAGATAGAAGAAGATGGAAGACGCCATCTCTTGTAACTGACGCAGGACGTTACGGCTGGCCGGGAAAGCTGTGACCTGGGTGGAACAGAGCAGGGGAGAGCCAGAGCAATAAGGAAGGGGAAAAGCTCAGCATTCCCTATGTCCATTTCCTAGGGCTCATTATCATCTTCCCTTCAGGGATGCCCTTACTCATTAAGAATGAAATGTAGAAAGATTTAGGTAAAGTAATGCAATGTGAACAACAGCCACAGACACAGCTATTGTAGCTAATTAAATAACATTAAAAATAAGAATGATTAAAAACAGCAACAAAATGAGGGTAAGAGGGTAATAAATATACCAAAGAGAGGGATGCAAAAACAAGAAAGTGATTTTGTAGTAATTTTGTCATAAAGTTAATAGTAACATTATTAAAAAAAATTGTAAATTATTTTGAGTTTTCAGTATTTCACCTTTTATCTGACTATTTTGCTGATGGTTAATAAGCTTATAACAAAAAAGGGGAATAACACATAAGGTCTGAGAGGGGTAACAAAAGCAACTCCACTCAATTTAGAGCCAATATTTGGTCATGTTAACAGCTACTATAACAACAACAAAACTCTACTTAAGAAAAAGTGTACCAAAGAAAGAACTAGGGAAGCCGAATTGTTATTTTTTTTTCTCTTCCGCTGAGTTTTGTTTCCTCTTTCTGATTGGTCCTCCTATTGGTTTTAATTTCTACTTACAACATCACTAATGTGAAAATGTTTAATATGAATGTAAACATATAGACTATTATCAGATTGTGTGCCATCTTGGGGAGGGTGGTTAGGGAGGTAGGGGGAGAAAAATTTTAAACTCAAAAGCATATGGAAGTGATTATTGATAAATCAAAATAAATTAATTTTTAAAAAAGACCAAAAAAAAAGTGTCACAGCCCTCAGTCTCATCGGATAATTAGAGAAACAGCAGTCCAGTCACTTGGGATGAGCCAGGAGAGCAGACCAACAGAGGCTAGCACTTCCAGGCCAGCAGTCCTGGGGATGAGCCCTTGGCTTGCCCTGAATGCCACAAGGTACCTTGTACTCATCATCAATCAGCAGCAGAGCCTTGGCGTAGTCCTGGTCCATGATGGGCAGAAGCAAGGCTTGCAGGATGGGTCGCTTCAGCACGGGAGGAGCCACCTGGCTCCACTTCCCAAAAATAGGGTTGAAGACATACAGAGAACTCCTTCCTGTTTTCTAAAACAGGCCACCAAAATTGGTCAGAAACTACTTGAGGAGAAACCCACCAAAGTGGGAAAGTGCAGCAACTACTCTTGGCTCTCACTCCCCAGGAGCCATTTCTGGGCCTCCCCCCCTCACCTGAGGGCAGCTTATCCAGAAGCTGCAGCTTCCACAGCCCACTCCTGGTCCCCAGGAGATCCCGGGGCACACCCATATGAAGCCACTGAGTGTCAGAAAAACAGACCCCCAAGAGTTTCAGGTCCTGTTCCCCAATAGGCAAAGAAAATGGCTGATCCGCCCCCAAAGGAAAACCACACTTGAGCACATGAAGCACATTCATACATGCCTGGGATAGTGGCAGGTCTGTCCCTCATGATAAAAGCTCATAATTCCATTGGGTTTTAAGAGTTACAAAGCACTTTCTTTCCAACTCTATGAGGTACACTATCCTCATTTTTCTAATAAAGAAATAGGTTCAGAGAGGTCAACTAATTTGTCCAAGGTCACACAGCTAGTGTTGGAGCCCAGACGACCCCAGGGCTTCTAACCTCAAGTTCAATATTCCTTTTGCTATGCTCTACTCCTCCTCCTAACAAAGTAATACTATGTGACGATGTGGAGTAGTCAAGAGGCCAGCCTTGGGATCAGGAAGACCTTGTTTCTGACCCGTAGCTATGTGGTCAAGTCCTCATTTAACCTCAGTGACCCAAGCAACTTGAAAAATAAATTACAAAAAGCTGCTGATTTGCATCTGTGGAGACGGTTTCCACGCCAGGAATTCCCAACACTGATGAAATAAAAGTCTCAAGAAGATACAGCATTACTTCAGCCTGAGGCTATTACCATTTTATAACATGACTTGCCAAGAGTCACAGAGCTGGTACAGGGTAGAAAGAAGCAGGAGCAGCGGAAACAATGTTGGCCCTGGAGTCAGAGAACCTAGGTTCAGATCCTGGCTCTGCCACTGACTAGCTGTGGAACCTTACCCACGTCCTTTCACCTCCATGGGCCCTCCCAGCCCCTCCCACTTGTGATCTCAGACACAGGATGCCATTAAACCCCACAGCACTGCCCCCATACACTATTAAATAGTCACGGTGCCACAATACGTAGGAGGAAACAGAGATTTTGCCCCTGCATCACTTAATCTACAACTTCCCACACAAGACAAAGGCTTAAGGTACAAGGGGACAGCCCCCCCACCCCCACCCCAGAACCCAGAGATGCAGGCCTCACCTTGTCCTTCACGAGCAGAATGCATTGAGGGGGGTGGGGAAAGTGAGCTGTGGTTCTCTGCACCATCAGCTTGAAGGAGGAGTCCGGATTGATGTTGGGCAAGTACTGCTTCCACAGGATGGTGCCCGAGCTGCTCTCGATGCCAAAGAGCTGAAGCAGAAGCACAGTCACCTGGGGAACAGCCGGAAGGACACCCCGGCCGACGGCTCCCTCCTTCCCTCTCTCTGCCCGCTGAATTTCTGTCCCTCCTTCAAAGCCCCACTCAAATGCCTCCTCTGCCAGGCACCCTTCCCCAATCTCCCCAGAGAAGGCCCAGCCTCCCCCTTCTGGCTTCCCAGAGCACTTCCCCTCACATCTCTCTGGAGCATGTAACATTGGTGTCACCGCCATCTGCACTGGTCTCTTAGGCACCGGGGCCCAACCTTACACTCCAGGATGGTAGCAGGACCTGTACTTTATCCCAGTTGTTTTTAATCTTCCCCAACTCCTACCACAGCACTCTGAACATAGCCGGCACTCCAAACTTGTTGAGAGGATCTCTGCCCTCTGGGAGGTTTGGCCTCTGGACCCTTTCCTCTTCTCACCTTGCCTGAGGCGGTCACCATCACCACCATCTTCTGGAGGTTGAACTCATCCCTTGCCAGGTTGTCAATATTGATCTCGTTCTTAATCTGACTTCGAGGCTTCCGAGCATCATAAAACATTTTCCAGAGGTGGGCGGTCCAGGCCTGCAGCAGGATGAGCTGGGAGGACAAGCGCTTCAAGAACATCCCCAGAAGGCCATCTGGAGACAAGGAAAGTGTAATGAATCCGGGGGCCAGCCCACACAAAAACACGGAGTCCTTTTAGGGATGCTTAAATCATTCCCACACCAGGCGACCAGCTCACAATTCATTTCCCAACCTGAAGCTCCAGTGTCTGATGCAAACAGCCTGGCAGGAATTTGGAGAGGAGCAGGTTGAGGGACGGAGGATAGGCTGAGCAGGGTCACAGCCATGTTGTTAACAGTTCCACCATTTTATTCTCAATCCACTACAGCCATCAAGAGGCTTTTGCTGTCCCAGAATTCTGTCCCTCACCATGAAACCTGAACCCTTTCCTGCCTCCATCCCCCCTTTACTTGTTGCTCCCACTTTTTCCCAGACGGCATCACTACCCTTTAATCACCGGAGCTGGCCTTCAGCACGGCCTCAGACTCTAGAATGGAGGGCCCACCTGACAGGCCCTGTCTATATGGCTGGCGGTGGTGCTTCCCTCTCAGCTCAGGGAAAACAAGAGCGATTGGCAAAGGGATGAGTCCCAAGCACAGCAAGCAGTGTGGTCTATTCTGGCCCCTCTGTAATGGCAGAGTTTGGGGCCCCTCAACAATAATCCCAGATGAGGAAAGGCTGCCAAAGAAAGCTAGCAATGTGAGCAGGCAAAAGGCAAGAGAGCAGCAGAGATCAGGTTTTACCTTGAATAGCTGGATCCAGGTGGCGGAAACAAAGAAGGAAGGTAAATTAACCCTTAAGGTACAACAATGAGGGGGGAGGGGACAGGGAAGGGAGCAGGGTCAAGGTTAGTTTGGACCCCAAGTACTGCAAGGGATGGGAGTGGAAATGGCTCTGGAGGCCACATGACTGAGGTCCTCTTTGCCTTAGTCATCTTAGACTCCTGGCCTCATGTTCTAAGAGAATAGGGGCTGGAGTCCAGCTGAGCTGCACTCACCACCTCCTCCCCCTCCAGGGAACAAAGCAGAAAACAGAGAAATAAAGGCAGGGCCACAGTCACCTTGGCCAGGAACAATGAGGCACCTAGTTCTGGATCTAGGAAAATAATGATGAAGGAGTGGGGAGATGGCTTTCTTGGCCTAAATGACAAGCTCCCTAAGGTCCAACAGAGAAAAGCAGAAATCTGCTCATCCAATTTTGGTGGCTCCCAGAATCACCCACTCCTCCAGGTCCTCCCATGCCAGGAGGATAACATACTCCTCACCTGCCTTCTTGCCAAACTCTCCTTCCAGCTCAGCCTGGGCCCCGGTCAGGGGCAGGTCTACCATCTCCAAGCTCACCACTTCTGCCAGTGATTCCTCTCGGCTCCAGAGCAGCATTTTTCCAGCTAGAGAAAAGCTCCAAGTCAATAATAATAAGCCTACCCTCCCCTCATTTACTAAGAAAAGCCCCTTTCCAGGGCCCACAGTCATTGTAGCCTGTGTGCCAGAAAGAATGGTCTAGGTTTTGTGTCAACTACCAGATTCTCTAGGCTTGCCCAAGTTCTCCTGAGAGGACTGGAGCCCAAGGACCAGGCCAAGAAACTGGGGATGTTTAGCCTGGAGAAGAGAAGGTTTAGAGGAAAATAACTATTGTCTTCAGGCACGCAAAAGGGTGATCAGCTTTGTTCTGTGCCTAGTCTGAGGGCAGAATCAGAGGGTTTCTAGATTTGGGCAGTTTTCAAGAGGCAGATTTTGGTTAGCATAAGGAAAAACCTCCTCACAATCAAAGCTATGCAGAAACAGAATGGTTTCCTCCAGGGCCAGTGGGGTCCCTGTCACAGGAGGTCTTGGAGCAGACACTAGAGGAGATTGCTACCCCAATATGTGTCAGACCCCATAATCTCTGAAGTCCCCTTCAACCCAGAGAAGCTAAGGTTCTGTTAATGTTGAGAAAGGCAGATGGGCCCAGAGGCTGCTGGGTCCCACCCTGCCATTATATCATGTCCTAGAGGGAATGGGCTGAGAGGGCACTACTCACCCAGCTGCTGAAGAAAGAGGAGGAGGTGGTCATCTGTTTGCACCAGAGCCCTGTAGCCCACTGAATCATCCTTCTTCAGGAAGACCTGGATATACAGCTGAGCACAGGGGCAAAGAGAGAGCAGTGGTCAGCACAACTCCAGAATTCAAAATCCAGGGAAATGTTAAGACACGGGGGCCTGGCTAACATGAATAGCCCAAAACAGTAAGTATTGCTTAGGCCCCAAAGAGGATGCTACTTCCTATAAGAAGTATTATCCTATTGTCAGCAATCCTAATGTGTCCTTACATTGTTCAGGAACTTTCCTTCGAGCTCAATGCATTTTTACAGGCATTATTTCATTCATCCTGTCAATATATTCCACTAAATAAAAGACAGGTTAGTTCCTCCATTTCACAGATGGGGAAACTGAGGCACAGAGTAGTTGACTTAAATTCACAACGAATCAAAAGCAAAGCCAACATTAGAGACCCTGACCACAGATTCCTAACTTAACAGGGAAAGTTTGCTATAACCTTTCCATTCTCTGGCACTCAGGGTATTCTATAAGAAGTGAAATACCCACCGCAACAGGGGTCCAAGTGAAGGGTCCTCGTTCCACTTACCCGCTCGGGCTGGGTGCCATTCTGTTCCAGGCTGAAGGTGATTGAGGTGTCAAGCAGCCGCCGTCCTGTCTCTGCCAAGTACAGGTTGATGGTGTAAGTTTGGTTAGTGCAGACAAGGGCTTCCTGAGGAGACAAAGGTCACGGGATGATGACAGGGCTCCAAAAAGGTCAGAAGACTGGAGGCTTAAGAGAATGGGGACCCAACATGTGTATTTAGAAAAAAGCAACCCCCAGCAAAAAGGCCAAGTTAGGGGTTTAGTCATCAATCAGGATTGTGTAGGACGGGAGAAGTTAAGTCACGAAGCCAGAGGAGGCAGGGCCAGTGGAAGGGATCCATCACTGAGATGGACGGTTGAAGGGCCAAAGGACAACCAACCACTCAAGGCACTGAGCACTAGGCGCTGCTAGCTGAGGTCACACGTCTCCCTTGGTGAAAGTCCAGGGACAAATGACTGCTCATCTTTATCGGCTAGCCAAAACCCCATAACATAATTGGGTTTAAGGGAGGGCACAGGAAATGAAATCTAAGAGTTCTCATTTCCCAAGTTATTGCCTCCTTCTAAAGCACATGTGGAGATATGGCTTTATTTATGGTCCCCTGGAAGCCCCTCAACATGGTGGACACAGACACAGGCACCGGCAGGGGCCCATGAGCCAGGAATCCCCTCACCCTTCCCTCACAACCCAAACTGCTCCACTAACTGACTGCAGGTTCTGATGGTTCAGAGCCAGCTGCCTGATCCTGCCTCACCTGTGTGCTAGACTTGTCAAAAGCGCTCTTTGTCAATGTCGTCTCTTCAACACTCCCGCCTTTTTGCTACAGAAGGAAGAAAGAAGAAAAATAACCATCTATAATCCATGAAAACAAATGTTCCTCTCCTGAGTCTTCATTACTAAGTTGAGAGCCAGGCCCATTTCTCATCAAACCCAGTATTTTTATAACATTCCCACCCATAAAGCCCAACCAAACCCTAATGCTCCCAATGGATGAGTCACTTAGCCTGTCTGCCTCAGTTTCTTCAACTGTAAAAAAAAAATGGGGATAATAATAGCACCTAGTCCCAAGGCTGTTGTGAGGATCAAATGAGATAATATTTGTAAAGCACTTAGCAGAGTGCCAGCACATAGTAAGGACTTAATAAATGCTAGTTCCCTCTTCCATTCTCAATAAAGGAAGCTCAGCTTATCTTTCATTTAGCTGACAAGTACCATGTTCTCTTTCAGCGCAGAACTGAGAGCCCTCCAGGCCTAAAATGGGATGAACACTCATCCTTTGCGGAGGAATTTCCTTACACTTCAGCTGAAGTTTTGATGCAATCTCCATGGTAGAGAAAACGACCCACATGGATTCAGAAGGAGGCCTGGGCTGGAGCCCCACTTCTGGCTCTCTGCCTGGACAGCACAGTCACGTTATCTGACCACTCCAGGATGGCAGGATAAGGATACTTGTGTTAGCTCTCTCACAAGGTTGTTCTAAGGGCAGTGCTTGGTAAACCTTCATGTACCCCAGAAATGTGAGAATTCTTATTCTCAGTGAGCTAATTACTTGTCACATCCCATCACCAGGTGCATTCTAGTGATTATTCATGTCCTGCCCTCACAGGAGGAAAATCACTCATGTTCCCCAATGCACATACTCACAGTTTCAGTACGGCAGGTCATCACAGCTGCCACAGTCTTCTCCCCACTGGTACCAAAGCTCACCAGAGCAGTCTGGGAAATAGGAAAGGGTCAATTACTAAATGACGATTATTTGTACATAAGCCAGTAACTACAGTGGAATGGTGCTTCTCCAAGAAGGCCCACTTGGGCCTGGCATTCTCCAAGAAGGACATTTAGGCCTAGTGTTGGAAGAGCCTCCGGACCTTTTTGGAACTCAACCTAAAGCCAGAAGCCCAAATCCCAGCCCCAGCACTAGGAAAGGTCAAAGCAAAGCTCTCAGTGTTGGAGAAGTTAGCTCTCAAGATTATTCTCCCATTTCTGTGGCCTCCTGGATGAGTAAGTGGCATGTAATTAGTTTCTTTGAAACCAAAAAGGTTCTAAAGTATTTCCCTCTTCCAAAAGGAATGCTGACCAACTTCTCCTCCCAAGGCTAACTCCTTCCAAACCAGTTCACACTGACCTCAGGAACACGCCATTGACTTTGGGCCTCAGGAAAAATGACTTTCTGATAGCAGAGTCCCCAAAGCATAACTTAGTCCCTCGAGCTGGCCCCCCAGCAGTCCCATGAAGCGCTAATGATGCCTCTTACCTGTGGGAAGCTTCGGAGCAGACTCAGGCCTTCCGGGCGGTACTGCAGCAGAGCAAAATGGCTGGGGGCTAGCTGCAAGAAGAACTGCTGCCGGGAGGCACTTGTGGGACTGGGCTGGGTGGGCAGGACCCAGGGCTGGAAACCTTGGCCAAATTCAAGCTCAAGGGCCTGGGAGATAGGAGGGACAAGTAGAGCAGCAGCAGACAAGGGCCCAGGTAACAGGCAGCGCCAGACACAACTGTGAACAGCTCAGGAGAGCTAGAGCCTGATACGAATCAGGCTGCACAAGGGGAGGCAGGTGGCACAGTCACCTACAATCCACAGACAGTGAAATCTGACAGAAGCCCAACCTTCTTGGATGCCCCCAAGCTTAGCCCTGGTGAGACTGGCAAGTCAACTCTCCACGAGCCCCAGGGAAGACTTCTGTCCTTCCCCATCCCAAAGGCTAGGCACCCACCGGGTACAAGAAGGCAGTGAGTATTCTGGCCTCTCTCACCTGCAGTGGGGTTCTTTTCATCTCCTCTTCTGTCTCCAGGGCCAAAGTGAAAAGGGACCGTGTGCCTGGGTCAGGGCATACCAGCACAGCCTTGCCCACCACACCACAAACCCCACTTAAGCTCTTCAGCCACGGTGCAGAAACCCTGACCTGGGGGACGGGACAGAATAAGGGTCTATTAGGACACAGTTTAATGTCTTAGCCATGTCCTGAATGAAGATACAAATGTATGGTTAGTTTTTTGGCCAGTCCTGGGATTTCACTAGTGCAGGAAATTCCTGGTGAAAAAAACTCCTGCCAATGCAAATTAGCACCTGTTCTGCACATTTTAATCTCAGAAGTTATGTCTTGTCTCTGGGCCCAGAAGCAGCACATGTCAGAGATGGGAGGTGAATCCAGGTATCTCTAAGTCCTGAAATCAGATTTCCCTCAATCAACTACTCCACATGGTTCACCTGGATTAACCCTACACTAATGTACCCCACCCCACTCTTCTGGAGGAAGAAGATCCCACCTCCACTGGGAGCACAGGACCTCACCTCAAAGAAAGGCACATCTATACCACAATCCCAAGCCTTCTTAAATCCCTCTCTGGCTGGATGTAAAATTATTTATGTTGTAGTTATCAGAATGAACAGATTTAACATAAATACTTTACATCTGAGCTATGCACTACTGAATTCCTCCAATGCCTCACTGTGGGACAGAGGTGACCACCATGTCCCCTACCACTGTGCTGAGAGAGGGGCACAGCCAAGTTCCAGCCCAGGCTGACAGCCTCAGCACAGCCTAAAGACGGTCTGTGAGACCCAGCCCAGGGAAAGTGCAGCAGGCTCCCCAGGCTGACTGTAGGATGATGAACCTCAAGGCCACAGCAGCTCCTCAAAGGCTTGCAATCTACACCGGCAAAGGTGGTACCTATACTAGTGAGATAGCTGCCAGTCCCTTGAACCACTAAGGTATTATTCTATTATTCTCCATAGCATTCTGTAGTACAGGGAAAAGACCACTGGTCTAAGAGTTAGAGGATTTGGTTCAAGCCCTGGTTTTGACATTCACTAGCTGTGTGACCTCTCTGAACCACAGTTTCTTCTGCTGTAAAATGAAGATATAGAGGCAGTGCAGCCTAGTGAATAGAGAGTCACCAACAGAATCGGGAAGCCCTAGACTGGGTGCCCATCTCTGACATGTACTGTGGGCCCTGGGCAACTCTGAGACTCTAAACTGCAGAGAAGCGACCAGTCTGCACTGGCGATAGATCACTATGAATTATTACTTCCCTGCCCACATCTTTCTCTGTTTGCCTGGATGTGCCTAAAGGGAAAAGACAAATACAACTTCCTCTGCCTGGCACAGCCCCCTTCACCCGCCCAGGTAGATAACCTCCCTCCTCCCCATCCTGCAAATAGGTGAAAATAGTCTTGCCATTCCCTCCCAACCACCCCTGACGCCCAGTACCAAGACATACCTGCTGAACCATCTCACCATCTTCCACATGAAAGGTCACGACATTCACATGACTGTTGGGAACAACCCCCAGGACCCACAACACTCCAGTGCCATATGAATACACCATCTGATACTGAACGCTCTCACTAAGAGAGGAGAGAAAGGGCAGGAGACAACAGGCTCAGCCTCAGAACCAGACAATCCTGTGTTGGTCACCCCAAGCCTGTGGGCTCCCCAGCATGAAAGGCCACCAAAATGAGCTCCAGAGACCCCACCCTCATTATGGCCATCTCCCCTATGCCATTCTTTTCAAGTTTCTCTTTTTCAATGCCAATTGCCCTCAGACCTCCTCCACACCCACACTGGACTACCCGATGAGTGAGCTGTTCCAATCTTATGATACAGTAGCCCCTTGGGTTCAATAGATTAAGCATGCTGGGAACCAGATCAATGGACAAGGATAAGCGAGTTATCTCTTGCTCTCTGAACTTTCACTGCCCACAAAGAAATGTGGTGTGAGCTTCTCTCCCTGCAAAGTGACCTCCAGGTTCAGTCAAGTCCCAGGGGCATAGACCTAAACAAGGTCAGGCATTAAACCCTGAACAAAAGATGGTCCAATAATAAATGTTCTTGGAACCTTGGTGAAGAAAGAGGAAATGAAAAGGCTTTTGAGAATTATGAAGAAGAGGATAAGACAGTCACCAGCAGGTCAGAGTTCAAGTTCCCACCTTTTCGGAAGCTGTTCCACCCACTTCTGGTGTCCATTGGAAAGGTAATGAAGAGTGAGCGTGGTCTTCTTCAGCACTGCCACATATTTCACCACATCTTGCAAACCCACCAGGCTGGCCATCTGAAAACTGAACACAGGAGAGAATAGGGGAGATCTGTCTGGAGGCTCAACTTGGAGGGAGGCCAATTGAGGACAAACCATTTCTTCTTGCCTCTCTCTCTCTAAGCAAATCTCTAAGAAGGAATACAGAAGCTCTGAAACCTCCAAATCCAAGGCAACTACTCCCATAACCTCCCAGAGCCATAGTATAGCAAGAGGCTCAAGTGGAAGGAAGAGAAACAACCTGAGAGCCACAGAAGGTGGTCACTACAAGGCAAGCCAGTACTGCTGCCACCAACACTGATGCTGTCTTTCTCACAACCTCTGCTTCAAGCTTCTATCCACCAGAATCTCTATCCGTTAAGATGGTTCACTGGACTAGTAAAGCAGAAGCCAAGGACTACTTGAGATCCCAGATCAACAACTAAGCAGCAATCCTGGGAAACCATTTAACTCCTGTAGTGTCAATTTTCCCCTTGCAACAAGACAAAACAAAATCAACGTGCCTTCCAAGATAAGGAGAAATGAACGCAAATGCCTCAAAAACCTAATCAAATACTTGGTAATACTTATGAGCAAATACTTACAAAAACTCAGGTGGTGTCTTAGCCTGACATCCTAAAATGTAAGTAACTTCACCTCTTTTATTTCTGAAGCTTGGCCTCTTAATGAGACAAGCCCCATGTAAGGACCAGCCCTGACATGTCCTGGCTGTGTAACCATGGACAAGTCCCCTATTTTCTGAGCCCCCTTGCTCATTTACAAGGCAGGGAGGATAGTAATTATACAACTTACCTCATTGGGTTATAGAAAATAAGAGTTTGTAAAGCTTAAAGTGCTAATTACATTTCAGCTATTATTATTAAAGATCCATCTAAGTATTATACAAGAACAAAATAATATCAAGTACAGAGCTCTGCACAATAGGTATTCAATAAATTCTTGAATCAATAAATGAAAAGTACAGTTCTATAATCCCAAACATCAGACACCAAGAGCTGAGCACACAGTGTGCTAATTCCTATAATTCCTGGGGAAATATCCAAGAGGTTGATGGGAATGTCCAATCACACCCGTAATTTGGTGAATTACAACCTTGTCTCAACCAAGATGAAACAGCCCTTCCTCTACCTGCCAGAATCCAAGGACATCTCCCAGTTCAAGCCCCCGATGTTGGTCTCCCAAGAGCGCAGGATGCGGCCCCCATTGGATACAGTGAGTGCATCTGGAAAAGAAAAGACCAAAATTATCCCTTTGCCCCACGTTGCAGCTCAACAGCCTCCCAAAGACCTCGAGGGTGCCCTCTCTCACTGATGAACTCTAACAGCTATTATGGGGGTACTTTGTCTTTTCCCTTATACAAAATGGAACTGATCCCAAAGAGGAAACAAATGTAAGGGGACAAGGAGATACTAACCTGTAGAAAACAAAGAACACCTCTGCTTACCTTGCCCATGAAGAAGCATGGCATCAACAGCTCCCTCCTGAGTACCCTTATCTACATGGCGCCACACTAAAAAGCAAGAAAGGAAAACCCTGCTCTCAGGAGTGGAACAGAGGGGACACAGAGACTTGGGACGACAAGCATCAAGAGAGAGAATTTATCTACAGAGTAGTCCCTACTGAAGTCGGGGACGGGTGGGATGAGAGCAGGGCGTAGGAAAGTCATAAGCACTGTTTCCACATTTGCAAAATGAGAATGTCGATATAAACTAAACTTACTGGAATATGGGGAAAGCCATAGTTGTCGATCACTTTCCACAAGTTTAACGTGAAAAAACAATACCTGAACAAATCAAGGCAGTCTATGAAGCTTAGGGGAGAAAACAGCCCCTTAACACAGATGTGTGCAACACAAGGACGGCATCTCAGTTTAAAGGCATTCAGGACCTAGAAAAAGGTCTGACGTAAACAGGAACAAACCCCAAAGGCTGGCTATATGGCCATATTAAATATTTATTCAAACATGTCAAGACTGGGAAAAAAATCCAAAGCAGATGTATCTTCTGGAAAGTAAAAGGCATGGACAGCTCAGCCCCAGGGGGTTTAAGGCCTGCTGAGGTCACTCACAGATAGCACCTGTTCGGGAGTTCAGTGCTGCAATCACATTCTCTTCCGTAGCCACAACCATCTTCTTCGATCCGGGGGCACATTCCAAGGAGGCAAACTTGAGCTTCCCAACATACTGCTGCCTCCTGAGGATGAGAGGATGCGGGAAAGCAAGAGCTCAGTTAATATTACAAATGTTGTTTTCAAAAAAGTTTAACAGAACAAGACACATATAAGGTGTTATCAGCAACATTACTGAATCTAGGGATATAATCACTGGTTATTGACAAGGTTTGTTTCAAGATAAGGCAGAAAGAACTAGAATATGTTCAAGACCAAAGAAAATTAAAAGAATCTCTCCAGGCCTTCGTTTTCTCATTTTTGGGAGGAGAGACACAGGCTCTAAGATTCTCTTTCAGATCTATAAGTGATGAAGGAAGCACAGTGTAGTAGAAAGAATACTGGAATGAGGAGCGCTGACGCTGATCACTCACTAGCTATGTGAACGCTTGTTAAGTTACCTTATATCTCTGAATCTGTTTCTGTATATATAAAATGGGCATGACAGTTATGCTATGATTTTTGCAAAGAAAGTGCCTTATAAGTCATAAAGCATTATTATTAACTTAAATAATTATTATGCCTTTAGCAAAGAGAAAATTTTAATAGTTTTTCCTTTGATTTCAGAATAACTTACACAGATAAGATTACAAAAGTACTGCATAGGAACCAATAGTACAATACAGCATTAGGAAAAAGCCACCACCATCTCAGCAACTGATAGGTGCCTATTCCAGACACAGAACTGGGTATGCTGACTAATATTAGAGAAAAGATATGAATGGTGCCCTCAATGAGCCTGCAATCTAATATATCTCCTTTTGTTGTTACTGGATCCCGGGGGGGGGAAATTCCCTAAAGGCCCAAAGACACTGACTCAAAGACCCTCAAAAGGGCTTTGATTATATCACTAAGAAATTTTTTCTACAAGGTTAACAATTACCAACACAAACATTTCAATATACAAAAAACAAAAAGAAGAACTGTGAACCTGTTAGGTAGGTTTTTATGAGAGCATATTAAATTTAACATGGGAGCAACATTTTATGTCTCTTTCTAAATTTCCTACTGTTTTCTTCTGTGGATTTTACTGTTTTAGTGATGTTCTTTTCTTTTTTTTTTTTTAGGCAATTAGGGTTAAGTGACTCGCCCAGGGTCACACAGCTAGTAAGTGTCAAGTGTTCGGTCTGAGGCCAGATTTGAACTCAGGTCCTCCTGACTTCAGGGCCGGCGCTCTATCCACTGCGCCACCCAGCTGCCCCTTGATGTTCTTCTCTTGAAGAAAAAAAAAAAGTTTATCTCTCTATCACTACCTTACCCTCTCCTATAAGCAGAAGTCCTCCTTTGGAACAGATAAGAACAGTCAAGCAAAAATAGGAAGCCCCTTTATGAAGTCATCAATAATGGGCTGTAGCTATCACTGCCCTCCCTTCTAGCCCACAGAAGATCAGCTGGCTTTCAAAGGCAAAATTCAAACAATCATCTCTGTTTCCTATCAGATGCCCTCATTAGTGCCCATGTATTCAATTACCATCTCCAGTCAGATGACTACTTGAACTACATATTCAGCCCAAGTATCTCATGAGATAAGAATCCCACCAGGTGTCTGTTGGTTATTTCCTTTGAGGACCAGAGTGAAGCAAAGGAATGTCAGACACAGTGGAGGTTTCCATGTGCCCTGAGACCACAAACATAGCTGTGAAGGCTAGACAAGAACCCTGAAATGTTGGCCAATTGGACTCTGATGATAATACTGATTAGGTCAGCACAATGGTCAGTTAAATGTAACAGATCCTATGAATCTAAGCAACAGAAGGGCAACAAAGGGTTATAGAGTGACCCTACTTGAAACCTCATGATAATCAGCTTAATGTAACAGAATGAGTGGCCTGCCTTCAAAAAATTAATCCAATACACCAGTAGCTAGAAACATTTCAGTGCATGTGGTGCTGACCACCAAAGAAAAACTACAAGTTGCATGAAATGGATTCAAGATATGAATGCTCTTGTTACTTGCCAATACTATATCATAACAAAAGCATAAGAAATAGCTTCATCTCTAAACCTAGACTGCTTGATTGTCTTTCATTCTCGAAGAAAACCAAAATGACTATGTTGGAGTCAAGGCACAGTGTGTCTGACTGTGGCTGATCAGACCAGGACGAGCTTGGAAGGCTCTATCACAGTTTGGGCACAAACAGTCCACATGAACATCAGGAATGGAGATGTCTCTAAGTTTGCACATGTCACACTTCTTTTCTGCTACTGCAATTCTGCTTTGCTTATAGAGCACAGCACCTTCTTTGATGTGGGCACTACTTACTGGGTGGTCCTGTGCCAGTGTCTCCCATGTCTCACAACTGATTTCAAAGTTCTTCAGAGAGACCTTGAGTGTCCTTGTGTCGCTTCTTCTGACCTCCACATGAGCTCTTGCCCTGTGTGAGTTCTCTGTAAAACAGTCTTTTTGGCAAGCATACATTCAGCATTCAAACAATGTGACCAGCCCATCAGAGTTGCACTCTCTGCAGTACAGCTTGAATGCTTGGCAGTTTAGCTTGAGAAAGGACCTCAGTACCTAAGGTACCTTATCCTGCCAGGTGATCTTCAGAATCTTCTTGGGATAATTCAAATGGAAGTAGTTCAGTTTCCTGGCATGGCGCTGGTAAGGTTTCACAGTGCAACAATGAGGTCAGCACAACAGCTCTGTTAACCCTCAGTCTGGTAAGTAATCTAACTACCCTTTCTCTCCCACACTTTCTTTCAGAGCCTCCCAAACACTTAGCTAGCTCTGGCAACGCGTGCATCAACCTTACTATCAATGTGTACATTTCTGGAAAATATACTGCCAAGGTAAGGGAACTTATCCACGGGCATTCAATATTTCTCCATTTGCTGTAACCAATAGCTCGACATATGGATGGTGTGGTGCTGGCTGATGGAGAACCTCTGTTTTCTTGGTGTTCACTGTCAGGCCAAAATGAGCACAAGCAGCAGAGAATCAATCCACACTTTGTAGCATCTTAGCCTCAGAGGCTGCATGGAGTGCACAATTAAAAATCTAGATTAGTTAAGAGTAGATATTGGAAGGTACTTAAATCTGAAGAGGGGAAGGTACTTAAATCTAAAGCTAATGAAGATCTACACTTAACACAAACTCCAGAACTGCTGCCTAATACTGACAAGATGGCAAAAAGTAAAGGAGACAAACTCAGAATGGAGTTTTTAGGCCCTTTTGTCATTGCACCAATACAAACAGCAGACCAACGATGCCAAAACACAGTCATTCCAAAAAGCCCATCTCTGTTATCATCATCGTGAGCAAATGCATTCTTCCACAATATTTGACCAAGAATATAAAAACAATTTTTTTCTACCTGTACACATAAAGTATGTTGCAGCTGTTACCACAGTAAGGAGCAAAGGAAGAAAGATGGAACTCACCAGAAAACCCTCTTAAGGTCAGCTATCAAATACCACTGTGGTGAATGTAACTTGAGAAAACTAGTGAAGACCTCAGGTAAGATACTGGAAGATTACATCAATTTCTAGTCAGTACTGACAATAAGCTCTAAAGACCACATCATCTGATTAAAGAAGACAAAAAAATAAATATCCAAAATAGAACTCAGAAAACAAAAGCGGAGCAGAAATTCTTGCTTGTAGTATGAGGCACTGTGCTAAGTGCTGGGGATGCCAAAAAGGCAAAAAATTCTATCTGTTCATCGAAATAGAGGGGTTTGTTTTTTTGGGTTTTTTTAGAGATTACGATCAGGTAACTGCCACATCAGACAGGTATAGAAAGGTTACCATGAGGGAGACTTTTCTATTGTTGTAGATTATGCAATGAAGTGGTAGAAACTGCAACATATCACTACAGGTTGCAAAAATGTAGCAGCTACTAGACACCTAGAAAGACACAATCAGATGGTCAGATTTATCCACCAGAAGTTCACTAACCTTTGCAAGCTAAGAAACAATAAATTGTTCATACTACAAATATTAGCCCCAAACTATCATTGAGAGTTAGACAAATAAATTATACTGGAAGTCCAGCATCTTTACAGACAGAAGTGTTGCCAACAAACACCCAGACAGAATAGTGATCCTCAAAAATATAATAATAGTTTTAATACCTGTTATCATATTGAACACTCCTATCTCCAAATTACATGGAATGAAAAAATTTTAAAATATCAACTCCAACTGTGTGGGAAGAGGATGAGGTACAAATTATCCTGTCATCCTATCTGCTACCAAAGATGCCCCAAAGATGCTTTCAATAAGTGGACATCACAATTCTCTTCTTCAATTACAAAAATTTATCCCTCTGGATCACAGTCTAAAAATATTAAAAATAAAATAACAATAGTAGGTTAGCAACTTGTTCTTGGAACTACCCTATCTCAATCCAATCAGAAAAGAAGAATGAAATGACTGGTAATAATAGCTACTTACATCTAACTTGAAGGTTTGTAACTCTTCTTGTTTGTAATATGTAACTTCTTTGTAACATGTAACTCTTCTGTCTCCAAATCCAGCACACTTCTCACTATACCATATTTTTCTACAGGCCTCACAGTCTCTCTCCCTATAAAAAGGGGAGAACAATCTCTTCTTGCTACAGCATAAAAATATTAGATAGTTCTTACACTTTAGTGATCTGTTTTGTTGGTCTCTTTAATAATACTCCCTCCATAGCTTGGTTGATGGTATTTGGAAGTTGAGGTGGCCAAAAAATCCATCCTCTTACGGCCAATGAGCTCCTCTGAACAAAGCCACCATGGTCTATTAAAGGGCAAATACGTGAAGGATTTCTAGTTTGAAAGGACCTGTCAGAGCTTACACTCTCCTGGAACAGCCATGAGAACCCAAGGTCACCTTGATGCCATGATGAAGCAATTGAGCAAGGACTTTTATGGAGACACAGGAAAACATAAGAATCCATGTAAAAGAACTCAGAATTCTTTTTTTTTTAAGACACCAAATACATATGAATATAATGGGATATTTTAAAAACTTATTTATATGTATTTTTATGTCACTTCCCCTTATCCACCACACCCTACTCAGAAAAAAATCCTTTATA